GCTGATGCCACTTAATTATAAAAGTAAATTCTGCCCTGCCATATGGGYTGGCTTTTTTCTAAGAAAACAAATGAATTCCCAAGAAGGTTTCAGATTGCAATAGAACTCATTTATTTTTATCTGCCAGGTCACATTCAATATTAAGAACAATGCCTGAGGCAAATTTTAAAGATACATTTTCATGGGAACATGGATTGCATGATTAATGCGAAGGTGCACACTAGTGCTGGAGTGGTACCATTCACAGATTGCTGGTGATGCTGTAAGGAAACTGGAACAAGGCTACAAGACTTCAGCTTAATCAAATCAATACCGTTAGGAGAACTAGATGTTTTGCAGAACAAAAAAAAAAAAAATTACCAACCAGTGATAACCTTTTCACGAGGCATGGAAGACACCTGCTGAAATTTGGGGTGGGGACAGGGGGGACACATACAATGGTAAATAATCTGGTTCTGCACAGCAACGACAGAATGCCCACATACATTCAAAGGCCACATTTATTTCCCAAACTGGACAGGCAAGACCAATCTTAGCAATACAGGACAAGTAATTCCCTTCCCAGTTTTTGCCTGCCATGGCAAATACCATGGAATAAAGTCCCTTGCATATTTTTAGAGATCTCTATATGAACATTATTTCTGTTCTGATTTTGTTAGCCTCAGCAAAATGTGACAAAACTCATTGGTTTTTGACTAAATTACCCATGGCCAACTTAAACTATTTGRTTTTCTGTCAACACTGCTGTGCATTTATACTGCTACGTCCTTCCCTAGATGTACCTGCTGATGGATTTATGGGCAAGCACTGTGCACACGCTCAGTCTTTTATCCTGCATTACAATTCCAACCCTCTTCTCATCAGCTTTTTAGCACTCCTTCCTTACATTTCTATCTGATTTTAAACAAGTTAATCTTGTTTAAACACATAGAAACACAAATACACACTATTACAATTCAAAGTCTCCCAAGAACCTTGGGCAAAGAAATCAAAATTTCTCTGTCACTCTGGGAGACACCTTTTCGGCATCATAGGATCATATCTGTCTTTCCACATAGCTGCATGACACTGGCAACTTCCAACAGGAATGCAGTCTGGATCCCAGCTGGCATCTTTGATACCATTCTCTGTAAGACAAATTGTAAATATCTTCAGAGGCCATAGAACTTTAAAAATTAAAAAGAGTCACCTGGACCAAGTTTCAGCAATGGAGAACGGATTTAAAAATTTCCATTGGTGTCAAACTTTCACAATACTATTTCGTTTGGTCTCTAAGACAGAAAAATTTGGGCAGACTTCACTAAGCTCCGTTAAGGTGGAAAAAGATCAATTATGAACTTAAGCTCAGCCAGAACACAGCTCTTGGCTGTGAAAACCATTCCCCCTTGTTTAGAATACCATCAACTTACTAAAGCAGAATCCTAGAGGTGCAAGGATGGGTTGGGCTGACCCTAGTTGAAGACCTGGTACACACAAAAACTGCTCTATCACCCTCCTCCTCAACTGGGCAGGAAAAGGAAATATAACAAAAGGTTCATGAGTCGAGATAAGGACAGGGAGAGATCACTCACTCATTACCTTCATAGTAGTTTCAAAATAAAAACTACTCAAATAAATTAACCAAATTTATCACCAATCAAGATTAGAGCAGAAATAGAGAAGTAAAAGAAATCTTAAAAACATCTTCTCCCCATTCCTCCCTCCTACCCAGGCTTAACTCTATTCCTGACTCTTTGCTCCTCCCTGCCAGTGGCACAGGGGAATGGGGGCTATGGTCACTTCATAGTATACTGTTTCTGCCATTATTCCATCTCAGGAAGAGGAGTCCTTCCCCTGCTCCAGCATGGGGTCCCCTCCCACAGAAGACAGTCCTCCAGGAACTTCTCCAACATAGATCCTTCCCAGAGTCTGCAACTCCTCATGGACTCTCCGGAATGGATCCCTTCCATGGGGTGCAATCCCTCAGGAACAGACTACTGGTTCCTTCATGGGTCACAAGTCCTGCCAGGAAACCTGCTGCAGTGTGGGCTCCTCTCTCCAGGGAGCCACAAGTCCTGCCAGGAGCCTGCTCCAGGATGAGCTTCCCACAGGGTCACAGCCTCCTTCGGGCATCCCCCTGCTCTGGTGTGGATCTCCTCCGTGGGCTGTAGGTGGATCTCTGCAAAATCCATGGATCTCCATGGGCTGCAGGGGCACAGCTGCTTCACCATGGGCTGTACCATGGGTTGCAAGTGAATTTCAGCTCCGGCATCTGGAACATCTCCTCCACTTTCTTCTCCACTGACCATGGTGTCTGCAAAGCTGTTTCTCTATATTTTTTCACCCCTCTCTTCTGTGGACATAATTATCTGTCCTCAAGATTGTCATCACTGCTGGGCTCAGCCTTGGCCAGCAGCACATCTGCCTTGGAGCCAGCTGGCACTGGCTCTGCCGGACATGGGGAAGCTCCCAGCAGCTTCTCACTGAAACCACGCCTGTAGCCCCCTCCCACACCAGGCGCTTCCCATGCAAACCTGGTACACTGTTCTTGTGTGGATGTAAATCATAATGTGGGGGCTTCTCTTGGCAGAGTATACAGTACTGTAAGTTTATTTGTACCTTTATCACGTGCCCCATTGCCCGTTTTCTGTCTCTACCAGTGACTGAGKAGCAAAGAGAAATCCATGCTAGAAGGCTACAAATTAATCATTTTCACAATTGAACAGGAACTTTTCACTGTTCAGATCTCACTGGAATCACATTACACATGGTTATCAGCTTTTCAGTTCTGAAGTGTTAGTACAAGAAGACAATGATTTTAAAAAATGATCTATTCTAAGATAAATAGCTATATATCGAAAGATACTTCATCAGGAAGAATGAACTAACAATGCATTCTCCTCACTGTCTTTATGAGAATACAATTGTTTCTTAGGACAGAAAACAAATTCTTCAAACAGCTCTTTGAATATGTGAATCCAGCGAGGCAGATGTTCAAGAAATGTGTAGTAAAATTTTGTCCACAGGCCATAGCACAAGCATGGTAATATTAAATGCCCTGTTCGTGTGGCCCTGGGTGAAAGGTAACTAAAACCAGCTCATTAAGGGGAAAAAAAAAAAATCAACACGGCCAGTTGAAGCTATGAAATGCTGCAAAAACCATTCCTGCAAATAAAGAGAAAACTCRGCACAATACTCACAGTGAATGGATTCGTTCTACATGCAGCCAGGACTACACGCAAAAGGTGCAGAAACAGTAAAGTTATCTTTGAGATCAACACTTGCAGTTTTGAGACTACAGTACCCTGATAATTGCTTGCCAGATTTATCTGAATCTAGGACCCCAGGATGTACAAAGGTGTGTAGTGGAAAGGATGTACAGATATCAATAATAGATATAATGAGAGAAACCTGACGGCAAATTTAGTTATTCTAAAGTAAGATCTCCATGGCCAAATACAGCAACACTGGAAAGGCTAAAATTTAGAATGGAAATGCAGAATAAGGAAAGAGAAAATCTAATCATTTCTATGAACAAATAACAACTAACTAACAACAGTGAACTGTGTAAAACAAAATTTCTCTTGTAATTTTAATGACACTGAATATTTTTAGTTTTACAATTTTYGTCAGAACAAGAGATATAAAGCTCTGAAGCAGCTTTAACTTACAGAGAAAAAATCTTTTGACGTAGGGGATCTTTTCCAAAAAGCAGAATTGACAGTTGACATGTTTTTGTAGTCACTACTTATTCAACAAAATCATCCAAAGCTTATCCCACAGTGATTCAAAAGGCTTCATCAAAAGCTCCAGTTTAAATGAGCCTATTTTTTTTCCCAGATTTGGACCCCAAATTAAAAATAAATAAAAAATAAATAAGAATAAAAAATGAGAGGAGTGAATTTTTTTTTTTTTAACAGATATTGGGATATCTGTACAAATTGCACTGATCCAACACACATTTCCATGGATCTGTGGAGAGGCTCAGACAACTTATGGTGAGTTGATAACCTCAAAGTACCAGCAGTTGATAACCTCACAGCTCGTTTCATTTGGTAGCTCACAGAATTGAAAAATCAACATGAGTGCACAGAATATCCCACTTCATGTGGGATACAAAAGACATACATATGTGTCACACACATACCTACTCCCACACTCAGAAAGTTTTCCCCTGTAGATAAACAACTTCCACTGGCCTAAAGACAAAAGTTTTCTTGCAATGCATTTTATAACTCTGCATTTTGAATCTCATTTTCAGCTAAGAAGCAAACTGGGAAACAGAACTGTGTTCCAATACTAAACCTAACAGATAAGTGAAGTGACCAGAGCTTCGTTGAWTCAAAAGTAAAATATATTCAGAAGACAGGTGTGAATAACAAGTTTAGATGGTTAAATATTTTTTGGCCAACCAAGATGTTTTACTAAACCTCATATGCTAAGAGAAAAAAAAAACTAGTGCTCAAAGACTGTCACTGCTTCAATGTTGACATCTAAGAGTGTGTCACTGTTGATCACAGCTTGCAGAGCTCTCTCCTCCTGTGCAAACAGTGTGACTGTCACCAACTTTACCACTAATTCTGYAGTCTTTAGCAGATCGCTCCTGGCATTGTGTGTAGTGAATAATTATTAGAAACATCCCAACACGAAAAGCCATACGGTGCAGCCAAATTTGGGATCATCCTAAGTTTTATGCAATGGCAACTTTTGTCACATTGTCATAYGGCACCTGCTTGTTCTACCACATACACCCAAAGATTTTGTACTCCAGGACAGTCCTCTTAAAAATTAGAATAGTGTCAGCTRTTATGAAGCTTGATACCAGGCAGTCAGTCCATCTCTTAACTCTGGTCAGGGATAAGAGAAATAAACACMCATAACATTCAGTTTAGTGGGTCTAAAAGGCAGGGGACTCACACAAGAACACACTGATATTGGAATTTGACTAAATATTACTTATCAACCAAGAACAAAATCCAGTCTGATACAACACAAAAAAAAAACCAAAATAGATTTCTCACCTTGCTCCAGCAATAAGCTCTTTTTGTCCTGGGTCAAATGTTAACTGTGAGAAGTCCACAGCATCTTCTGCTTTGAACACGTGTAGCCAAGGGGCAATTTCTAAAAACAATCAAGAAACACATCTTTTACTATAACTGTTATAGGGGTAGTGCATCAAGTAGCCACCATTAAATTTGCAGACATTTCATGTGGGGCTGCAAGTTTTCTCCTTAGGGTCCTCTAAGGAAACATAGGACACTTTCACCACCATGCCATTGAATTTATAGCACAGGCCTGTAAAATATATACGACAGCCACCTGATACACGCTTGAATCAAGTATCCATATTTTCTTCCGAACTGTTTTTTCCTCCCTGGGTAAAGCAGAAAGCACCACAGTACAACTGCAATTCACTGGTACATACTCAAGCCTAGTCAGATTAATTTTCCGTACATCAAAAGCAGCTGAGGACTAGAGGACTTTTTTAGTTAGTTATTTATTTAGTTACTCATTTTCTTTAGAAAATGATCAGATTAAGTGAAAAGCAATGAGAAAAACAAAAAAAAAAATTTACTTTCTATCATTTTCACAAGGAAAAGGTTGAGAAATGAGGGATGAAAAAGAAAAATGCTTGCCATTCATTGATTTTTTTTTCCCACCTTCCTTTCTCAGACCAATTTAGTGCCACATTAAGCAGGGCAGACAAGCATGTGAGTTGCTGAAAACCAGCAAGGGGCATTACTTGTATTTAGTATATAAACGTGTTCCTACTTTCAAACTTAAACACATATAAATAGCTGTAAATCAAATCCTTAAATATTCTCATAGAATACATTAAATTCTATTCACATAGAATACATTAAATAGACACACAATACAAAAAATTGCTGCAACAATAAAAATGCGTCTCTAAAAAAAAGTCCAGTTGTATAAAACCCTCATCCTCCAGAGTTTTACCATTGTCAGGATATTGATTGCAGCTTTTTTTATCTTTAATATAGTCACAAAGTAGTGGTATGGAACTTCAGTGAAAGGTGAAAAGGGCGATGTATGTACAGCACAACAGGCTGTCGGACTGTCTGTTTGAAGGCCACAGGTGTGAAAATTGAAAGAACAAAGGTGAGCACATAGTCATGACCATGACCATGCTTTAGAGCACAGAGTCAAAACCAACCCCCCTGAAGATGCTGCAGCAGTGCAATTTTTGGTAGTGGTACCATCAGCTACAGCTCAGGTTAACAACATCCATTCTAAGCCCTCTTCTTTGCTCATGAGCGTATTTTTTGCTTTTGCAAATGTCTCRGTTGAAATAATCCATGTCTGGTGCCTGTTTCAGGATGATTTGTTCCTAATTTAAATATTAAAGTTTTAGCACAAGTGAGCTATCCATTCCTAGGGAATAGGCCCAGGAGAAAAATGTTATTCTGTGTCAAAACGTGTCAGCCACTGCAGACAACCATTAAATGCACTGTGCAGAAGCTGTATCATCATATACTTTGGAAAAACAGATGGAACCSTGAAGTAGAATCACTTGGGTGTCAGAAAACTAACTTCTGCATTTTTAATGTCAGCCTGCATGCATCTGGGCAATTTCAGGCTGGCAATGCCAGTTTGCACATGTTCTGCAGTACTAGTAGCAAAATTCACTGTTGATTTCCATCTGCACTGGATAGGTGCTCAAATCGGGATTCAAACAGTGGCAGGGGAAGGGGATGTGGCCACATTAGATAACTGTGGTTACAGCTGCCATCAGCTATTACTGCAGATGCTGTGCACAGAACCCAGCAGGATTTGAGGGAGCAAAAAAAATATACACACATACATTAGAGGCCTGTGTAGCCTTACACATGCTTATTTATCTATTTTTATTTAAATATAAGGGTACACAGGCAAGCCTTAAAGAGGTTTCATAAACATTTTGTACTTGATTTTGTGACCTTAACTTTTCAATCACGCATTTCATAAGAAACAATCCATTGCAAAGTTCTAAAAAGTAACGAAATTAAGTAAGACATGAAGATGAGGAAATCCAGAGGTAAGTGATGAAAGAAATAGAACTTACTGGAGAAAAAAAGAAAAAAAGAGCAAGAGAAGCAAAACAAAAATAAAGCTAAATACAATTATGTTTATCAGTTTAACAGCCTATGTATTGAAAATCCTAAAATCTCCATTAACTCACTCAGACATTTCCCACATAGAGACATAATATCCACGTGGTCTTCACAAAATAAAAATAGATACACACACAGTGCCAATCTCAAACAGCTCTCTGTTGTGAGAGATGCAGAGAGGCTACTTTCTTCGTATTAGGAACTATGACTAGGACAGAAATGAGTGCAAAGCCATTTCATAAGGTAGCAGAAATTCAGACAATATCATAATACTCATGAATGATTGCTATAACAAACAAAAAAAAAAAAGAAGTACCTATGAAAATAACCCTATGGAAAAAATTAGCGCTTTAAGAAAAGAATAGACCCATCCTGGGAATTCAAACAAACCAGTGGGCAGAGGTCACAAAAGGTGCTGGAAGAAGAGTCTAGGGTATGGGTTTATTCCCTTAGCTGCTGCATTTCCTTTCCAAATGSTCAAAAAAGCCATGGGAAGTGCTGTCACCACA